AGAGAGAGAGAGAGAGAGAGAGAGAGAGAGAGAGAGAGAGGGAGGAGACTGCGAAAGGGGAGGGAAAGGGAGGCAAGATGGTACGAGATGGAAAAGGATATATAAGAGATACGAAGGGAAATTCGCTTATTTTCCCATCATTTCGGCGTGGCATCTTGTCCGTAGCCTTTTCTCATCCACGGAGCCAGGAAAGAAAATTGCTTCTCGTTCTCGAGAGCGGAATATCATCCTGATGAGCCCGGGAATGCTCCGATATCCACTCCCCCGCGTCCCCCTCTCTCCCCCGCCCCTCTTCCACCCTTCTCCCGCATCGAGCTCCAAACCTCGGGTGATGCCTCCGACGTTTAACCCCGTCTTCGTTTCACTTCGTTTCCGCATTTTTCTCTGTGTGTCTCTCTTTCTCTTTCCCTCCCCCTATCCTCTCTCTTTTCCTGACGAGTCGCCGCCACTCATTCCCGACGGTAATATTCAATTTGCCGTTCGCCTCGTTGTTCGAACGCGACACTTCACCCCGTCACCGATTTCGGAGGCGTTGAAGGAATTTTTGTGTGCGTCGCCTATTAATAAACAAATTTGCGAAGAGCTGATGGTCTCGTAATCGTGTACGATTGTACGGCACATGACTTTATTAGCTTCGTGTTATTGCTGTTAAAAGATAATGCGTTTATCTCTCACGCGCGTTAAAATTATAATCCTTGTGAAACATCTTAATTGAGACACCGCTCGAGTTAAGACGCGTTTACATTTCTGAATTCATAATTTCTCACTCCAGCGTTTTACTGATGATCGTTAAATTGATGCGCTTCAAGGTGTACACCATAGCGGGGAAACCGAGGTCAGGAGTAATTCGCGTACAAACAATTATCCTCTAACCATTCGCTGTCAGCTACCGTAGAAAAGCTGAAATTGATTGCTCAGCGTTACTCGTCCGATCTCAAGCGTTAAGATCGCCGGGGCAAAAACCAAGATCCGATCGTGCCGATGGATCCCCGGCCCGGATGGTTCACGCTCAACTCGCCGCCGCGTGTGAATTCGACACGGACAGGGCACTCGGTGGGCCTCATACCCAGACGCGTCTCGGCCGGGACTGAATAATTCATAAGCCGAGACCCCGATAGCATCGGCTCTTAACGCAATAGACTTAAGCGAGCTGCCAACAGCAGCCATGTTACAATAAAGAAATCAACATGGCCGAGAGCCGTCACGGCGAGCCGGGGTGCTCCCTCCGGCGTTTCCTTCCCTCCTTGGGTCCACCTTGGAGGCGCACCGCGTCGCGTCACGTCGCGCCGCTCGTTCACTTTCGATTTCGCCCCACGGGCTCGTTACCCTCTTAATGCCGATGGAAGGGTGGACCCCCCCTCTCACACCCTTCGATCTTTCGCCGACCGACCCTCTTCTTGGCCCCCCCCTTTTCTTAGCCAACACCGCTTTCAGGGTTGGACTTACGAGTCCCGCCCAAAGAGACATTTCTGCAACCCTCCTTTTGGAGCAGAAGTCGAGAAATATAGGGAAGAGAGAGAGAGAGAGAGAGAGAGAGAGAGAGAGAGAGAGAGAGAGAGAGAGAGAAAGTTGAACAAGGAGAGGGTGCAGAAAAGGGAGAAAGTCTTGGCAGCCACTTTTCTCGCCCTCCGCATGATTGCACCCCACCAAAGAAACTCCATTTTCTATCGAATCCTCTGAATCTCTCTTCCCTCTTTCCTTACTGCTCCCTTTTTTCACTTTTGCTTTGACTTACTGTTGCTATCTTGCTCATTTCCGTCTGCTTTCTCGCGGTTGGATTTTCGCAACTGACCGACAAAGCAAGTGCAGTTCTTCTGTAACCGAAACTTGTCTAATTCAACTCGAGGTGCTAACGTCAATCTCGGGATTGCAGCGGGAGTTTGGTTGAGGAACTCCATCGGATCAATTATGCGATCGTGTTTTCGATATTAGAATTAAATTAAAAGAATTGCACTATCGACGATAATAATAAAAACAGGTCGAAATTCTTTCTCTTTCTCATTTTCACTGAATATCTTACACAATTTTAATAAATATTTTATTCTATTCTCTGAGTTTTTCTTGTTGACAAATAATTGAATAAACATTTAGATAATAATTATGCAATTGAAATATAATAATAAATATAATAAAATCTTCTGAAAAAGAATATTATTTTGGCTTATAAAGCTACGCTTATAGTAGTAGTAGTAGTATAAGAAAACTCGTAGTAGTAGTAACAGAGGGAAATCGAACATTCTGCAAAGTCAAAAGCGATACCTCGAGTCTGCCGTTGAGATCGGGGCGGGAAGAATGGGAAGAAAGGAGGGTGCCCTCTTCTCCTCAAGTATACGGTAGTGACACGTTACCATTATCGCATCTCAGCGGCTAATGAGAGTTTGTGCCGCCATTGTTGCCGACTTACGTCGAGCCAAACGCCGTAGCGAGCTTAATGAAATTGCGAAATTAAGCTCACAAAATATTAAATACGGCTAATATTGTCACTTGTCGGTTAAAGGCGGGTAGAGCGATAGAACGTATTATGCTCGCAAAGTATCCCAGAAATTTCTGTCGCGGCAAATGCATTGTACGTGCTCGTTGCATCCTTTAGATCTCTCACCACGTTATTCCGGACGAATAATAATAAACCGTCGTTACGCGTTATGTTCCAGGTCTGGTTTCAGAACAGGCGAGCCAAGTGGCGTAGGCAGGAGAAAATGGAGGCTGCGAGACTAGGCTTGAGCGAGTATCATCACGCTGCTAACATGAGGTTCGTCCAAGTAGTCCCATTAACAAAGCCAGTGTACCCACGTAAACCCACGTATCGTGTGTATAACAACCGGAGATATATCGTTTTAGGAACGTTGCCGGTCCAGCTCTGGGTCTGCCAGGGGACCCTTGGCTCGCGCCGCCAGGATTGCTCAGCGCGCTTCCTGGTTTCCTCGCTGCGCCTCACACGGGATATCCCAGTTATCTGACGTCTCCCAGGCGATTACCATCGCCGCCAAATGTCGGCGCCGTGTCCAACCCCGTTCCAGGTATTAATTGTTTCTAATACACTCCGGTTCTTTTGCCTTTTACGTACCAGAGAGAGTACAAACTTAGAATTGAAAACCAGGAAACAGTATTTATTGAATAAAATAACGTTCAAAGGAGCTAACGAACCAGACACTGGTGTACGTGTTAAAAATATTTCTACTTGTAAGAATAATACAAGTTGTAATCAGGTCATCTTCCGTGTATTATAGAATTTTTTATTATTAAACGTTACGTACATCTAACAATGCTTTTGCGGTGTGTCATATAAGAGTCTTTACATCAAAATTTTAAGTCCAAATGACGAATGGGAGAAAGTCGAAATGTCAGAATACTGAAGGATAATCCAAAAATAAAATTTCCAATAAGATTCAAGGATCAATTTCTAACTAATTGAAACGAGAAAGTGTGGATAGGAATTCTTAGAAGTTATCGGAGGAAATTATTAGAGACTAAAATGTGATGCGAGTCAGAAGGACAGGACAAAACTGTCAGTATTTATTGAGAAAATTAAACTCTTCAGCATATCGGAGTGTACGGCGATTTTTGCAGTGCAAAATATTTTTTAGTATACGCAAGATATGAATTAATTACTGCGATCTTCGCGATTATTATGATCGAGCATACCAACGAAAAGTAGACATCGCATTGTTCGCAGGATCGCTAGCCAGCAGTATGGCGAGCATAAGTGCCGGCGGTCACGTGCAACCACCGCCACCAAGTCCGCCGGGACATGATCCTCGCACCTCGAGCATCCAAGCGCTCAGGATGCGGGCCAAGGAGCACGTCGAGAGCATCACCAAGGGTCTGCAGATGGTCTGAAGGTTAACTGGGGATACGCCAAGGGCGCGCACCGCTGCCAACCGCACCGTCCTCACGCTCGTGACGGCGTGACGAGCAAGCGAGCAATCCTTCGCCCAAAGACATTCAAGAACGCGAGGAGTCGCATGAGCAGCGCAAACGATATAGGTATATCGACCGACGAGAGCGAGAGAGTTCGTTCCGCGACAGAAGGGGAAGATCTCCGACGGCGCTGGACGTGACGAAAGTACAAGAAGGCAAAAGGAAAAGACGATCGTCCGTTTGTGTGTGTTGGGGAGTGAAAAGGGATGTTGTTTCTTGGTACCAACAGTTACCGATGGACGATCTAATGTATATATACATTGCTGACATGTTAAATCAAAGAGATTAATGTTGCAACGGTCAATGATCGGTGGGTATATTTTCGATGACTATAGAGACTATCAATGTGATAATTGGCAGGTATCTATGATCAATGAGCATGTGTTCATGGTTGAAAATGGATTGACCGTTGCGGTCAGTCCCGTGGAAACGATGTCAATCTGGGAAGTTGAGTTTCTCTATTCGAAACAGCACGAAAAGTATAAGATTGAGTCATTTTCCTAGGCATTTATTATGATGCCTCGGTAACAATAATGGCACTAAACGGCCGACCGACTATACCGAAAATACAATGCGTGTCTTTTATCTGGCGAAAGATTTTCGAGCGGATTGTATACGCGCGAAAAATTTGCTCGGGGCTCGCTCCAAATCGGCATTGTGCAATAGACAAAAGGAATTGTGTTGCGCAAACTTATTGTCGAAGCATAGGCAAAGATCAACTTTCGATCGACTTGCCGTTATTATTCACGAAGCATTTATCAAATACTCATGCGTTGAGTCTCACGCGAGATTATTTTTCAAACCGTGGATAGAAAACGACGTGTATGCTTATTGCCATTAAAGTCACGCGAATAGTTTTTAAAGAACGTAATTATTCGGCTCGGGGTTAATAATTGTGCATACATGTGACTTGGTTGTCAAGAGATCAAGTACATTGTTTCATTTCATTTTATAAAGCAATGTAACGCAGGTGCAAATGTGCTGGTATCAATTAATATCGTCATGAGAATAAAGGTAACAATTCTTTTTTTTTCATTTCTAAATAGATTATTTACTTGGTTCATTCGCTAATGCGCGACTAAATTTATAAAGCAAGGCGTCGATTTCGAGACGCAGCACGCGGCGTGAAATATTCCGTAACACATAAATACATTCCGTATTAGTCGATACTACGCGAATAATTGATACATGGGGAAACTAGCCAATGATATCTTTCATAAAACAATTATATCGTTTCACGGCCATCGAACACGTGAACAAACGTCAATGAACAGTATTGATTTACATATGTATGGGATATTTAAATTGCCACTCAGCCCGTAGGTCGTTTCGAGAGATAACAAAATAGCTGTCGCTGTTTATCAATTATCTATTTAGACCGCACGCGTGTAAAGTGATAATTCAGACATTCCACGCATAAATATACAAATCCGCATTGAAAATGGAAATCTCGATCGAGCCTCTATCTTTCGCGTTCAAACTTGTGCCCCGCGTTGCACTAATCTTACGTCGCGGTAAAAGAGGAGGAAGTAGGAAAAAAAAACGAATCGTTTCAATTTCCAACGAGAAATTCGTTCACTCAACAAAAAATCGGTTCACTCAACAGTTATGCCCATCACGAAATATCCTGCGTAGCAAGTATACAGGATGTCAGGTAACAGGCAACATACGTGCGAAGCAATGAGCGATAAAAGACTTCGCTTGATACACGGATACCTTGAAAGATCAATAGATCCGATCGAATCGAGCAACGCCTCGCGAAGTGTGTCCGATTCGCGCTCGTCGGCCGAATATCTCCTCGCTCAACTCGTAGCAAGTTGCGTACAAACCTACATAGGAAGATACGCGCTACCGAAGCGTTTGGTAAAACCTAAATCGTTAAGCGTAAACCGGATGTCGGTCGGTCCCCCGGAAGCCCTTCCGGATCGACGGCGGCGCTCACGAGCTCGACGGCGGTCGTCAATCGTCGATCGGCGAACTAGCGAAATATCTCTTGTAGAATATAGGGTAAAGACGCACGGAGGCGAGAAAAGTGAATTTTGACATAAACAATATTCTGCAGTATTAATACGTTAAGGCAAAGAATTGTGCATATTATCTAGACGCCAATGTGGTATGTAAATTCCAGGAGAGAGCGCGGAGGAGGATGCGCCGCGCCATTTCCGGCCGACGTATTGTTTAATGATCGATGTGAAATTCAACTCGCGATGTGCAAAATCGTAAGGTACAAGGCACTATTCCTTCCACAGTATGAAGATCCCGCTGCGAGTTTTCACATCAGCACTTTCGTCAGTGCATTTCAATTTATTTTATCTTGTAACACAGATTTTTGGCAAAGTAATAAGCCACTTCCCTATATAACTCGACGTATTGATCTTGGTGCATATAGCTACCGGCCATTTTGACATGTACTCACGATTTTGCAGACCGTATTTCACGGACGCTTACACTCGGATCGTCTCGCGAGCGATCAGCCTCCGCGGCCCGTAAACGAGACACTCGTAGAGAACGAAGAAACGTAGTTAGTCACTTCCCGGACGTCTATTTGTATATATACCCGCTCGTGACAGAATAAAATTCGATGTACATATTTAATCGTACCATATCGTTTGAAGACAGGGCCTCCTTTATTGAAATAAAAATACAAACGATGATAATATATTAAAATGGAGTGGCAAGTATTTTACTACATGTATATCTTCTCACCGTCAATGTTCCCCCTCTCCTTAAATCCAAGACACGTTCCTTCACATAAAAAGCAATTAATTAATAAAGTTGTGGCCGAAGTGTGAAAAACGTGGTGAAACCTCAAAGTCCAGAGGAAGAACATTGAAACAATAATAACTTTATAAAAGCTTAAAAAGAGAAATGCTTGTCGGTTTCTTCAATTTGCATATTTCATAAACTCGTAAGAAACTTGCTCTCTTTTTTTTAATTCGATGTTTTAGTTTTAGCAGCGTTTTAATTCGATGATATGTTTTTTCTTCGATTCTTTTAGCAATTATTAGCCTTGGGTCCCCAGCCATTTATTCGCTGCTCTCGCTGCTTTATTTATTACTTATATCAATCAGAGAAATTACCGTCATTTATTATAGCACAGCTAATCCTTATTAGATTGCATTTTTCATGCGCTAGTAGCAAATCGGTCTGAGATGTATACCGTGAAAATTTTAATTCCTACGGAGAAAGTAATATATATTTGCCGAGGAATTAACATATCAAAGAACGACTTTAATTAAGTCTTAATTCATTTCCGAGAAGAGGAAGAAGGAGGGAGAGAGTTGCAACCGGTAGAAGGCTATCGTTCGTCTTTCTTCGAGTTTAATTAAAACCGAAGATTTGTTAGAACACGAAGAATCCGTTAACGCCAGACCAGTCGAGAATTGGCGATTGTTTAGAAGAATAATTTTCCTTATTACCTAAAATAAAACATTGATTTTTATTTTTATATATGAAAAATACGCGGTGCTTTTCGCGCTTTTTCGAATTAGCATTAATGAAAACTTGGGGAAAAAATTGGCTTCGTGGCTAAGTAAAATAGAATTATATACTTTCATTATATTTTTAATCCTAATAGGGGTTCTAAAATAATTAAAGCACGGAATCGACCGTCCGGATAAGAGATTTCAGTAAGACACGAAAATATATTTAAAAAATTTGGGGAAACGTACACATTAACGATTACACTCGAAATATTTATTTCATATCTCTCCATTCTCCCATCGATCAGGCCCATTGTACAAGACCAATCAGATGGGCCTTTTATTTCGGTCTGTTCATACATTCCCTGCCCGGGAATTTAACGTAGCGGCGAGCTGCGATTTGATGCAAATGCCGCTCGGAAATTCCGTTTGCGCGAGCAAACGTGACAGCGAACGTGTGCAAGCCGATCATCTTTTTCGAGGGTGGCGAAAAAGCAGCGGCGGGGCAGCGCCGGGGCGTGAAAGGATTCGGCGTTAACAGGCACCAACAACGGCAAGTCGATGGAACAATGGTGCTGAATGGTCCCCGGACGATTAGGTATTCCAATCGTTGCGTTAGGGGCTGCTGTGAAGTACGGCGGGGGTGAAGGAGAGAAAAGGCGGGTTCGTCGGCAGTGGGGTTGGCGGAACCGGGCGGCCGAGGGACCGGCGCGGTAAGGGGGCACCAGAACTCACCCAATAAAATGGTAATTTCTGTTTGCGGAAGTTAACCATGCGAGCGAGCCTGGAGATTCGAGTCCATGCGTACTCCCTAACTCCAAAGACTAATAATACTCGAGGCAGAACGCTACCGACAGTGATATAGTTGTACAGTTGGAAGAAGGCGCGGGGTAAAATCGTGCGAGACGGAGAGAGAGAGGAGGGGGGGGGGCGGGTAGGGAGAGAAAGTTCTCTCATGTGAGGGAGTTTGTGGAGAGCGCGAGAGTTGCGGGACGTGAGTGGAAAAGTCGTAGAAACTCGGAAAATAGGGATACAGTTCGAGAATTCATCCCGTTAAATTAAAGAAGACGATAGGAATACGAGATTTCTTTATATGCGCTCGGCAGGCCTCGAGATATGAATACCTCATACAAATACAAAGATAAAGAGATTCCATGCTAATTATTTATAAAGTGAAATGTAAAAAAAAAGTTAGCATCTTCTAAATTCGAATATTATGTATCTTCTATAGCATTTAATTAAAGTCAAAATTAAACTTCAGTTAAATAAAACCGCAATTATTTATGCGTTTGAGGTCGAAAAAAATTCCCTTCGCAAACTAATTCTACATTCGTCGAAGTATATTTGTTTCTCTTATAATATTCTCGTCCGCGCGCATAATATATATTTTTCAAATACCTCGCAGAATGCATACATATAAATCCAAAGTCGGATTACATGCGAAATTCACAATCATTTTTTTTTTAGCATCTCATCGATCGCCCAAATTAATCAGCAATTAATTTATAAATATCAGCTTGCGCGGCACGTGATCCAGCTGGCCGATAGTTAGTCTCGTGTATATCAAATTAGAAGCTACGGCATACTTGGCTCGCTTGGAAGACGGCAATCTCTCGCTGAGCTTGAAATTGGCACGGAAATCGTGGCTTTATTAAATTTGTTTAGGAACAGGTGGGGGATGGCGAACGGGTCTTGATTTCGGGCGAACCGTCGTCTATCTAATATCTCCCGATGCCCGCCCTGCCTAACCTTATTGCCCCGACAAAGTAAAGAACCAGCAAGGAGACCCGAATAAGACCAGTTTTCGGGCCGATGGAACGCAGATCAATGGAGCGGCAAGCCGACCGGCTGGAATCTTGCAAACAACGATAAGGAGAGCTCGAGCGAGAAAGTCGGAAAAGTGTAGAGAAATCAAATTACAAAATTGGTAGTTTAACGATAAAGTGCACGAATGCCACTTATTAGACAACTTTATTAGGTATAACCATCCGGAGAGAGCGTTACGGTCGTCATAAGAAATTTATAACATGCGGCCAAGAATTCTAAAATGTCAAAACGCTAATAATACATGAGCAATCAGCGAACGAAAATACAACGAACTTTTCACCAATTAAAACCCGAGAGAAACCAAAATTAAGCAGATGACTGAACCGCGAGTGGTTAACTGCATGTCGACTTCAACAAAAAATTTTATTCGCGACTTGGTTACGAAAATATTGAGCTACATAGACGATCGCGCTGAAATTTGGCCATCGCGGGGGTAAAACGTCAGATGTAAATTTATGAAGAAGCCATCATTAAAGAGCACAAGCACGTAGAATGTTTCGTGCGTCAACAATTCTATGCGCTTATACGTATGCGTAAACATAATATATCGATGTGCAAAGCTGCGTATCTCCAAGTAGACTTGGCGATCGATTAAATCAATTAATAACATACATAATACTTGTCTACAAATTGTGCCAACTTTTCTGTATCACCTATTATCGAATAATGCTTCGTTGATACGCCCTTTGTCCGATCTAGTCCATCATTAACATATTATGTACGCGCTACTCCAAACGCGATTGCACGATACGCTTTATTAGCTGCACATTATAATTACGATAACAGCCCGATATAGAACGCTTATTTGCCCAGAGTATCATACGCATACGCAGAGCAAGGTAATAATTGTCGTGTAATTAACATATTATACGCGACGGGTATGACTTCATTTTGTAAACTTCATTCGTTCAATTAAAATTGATTCAATGTAAAAGCGTGATGCATTATCGCGGCAAGAACCGAAGAATCGTCAAACTGACGCAGCAATGATTTCGCTCTAATCGGTATTGGGAATTATAAGAGAAAATATTGCTTCGGTCTCGTCGTGAATTAATCAAAATGAATTTGAATATTTAATACGTATTTCCTAAAAATGCGGCCGCTATTTCGAAATAATAAATTGCCAAAAATATTATCCTTTTTACATTTTCAACAAGTATCTTAGACGTACTGATATTCTGTACTCGATATCACTTTTTCAACTTTTAAATATCAATCTTTAGGTAATACATCGATGATTGTACGTGAATAAGGTACATACAGGGTGATTGAAAATAAGTGTAGTGTCCTTGAAATGTCTTTCTGATTAAATTCTGAGATTTTTCCTTAACCAAAATGTTCTCCGAAGCTTACTTTTGAAATGTAAAAAGAAATAGTTAACGAATGACGGGCCGAGTACAAGAGGCAGACAGTGGCGGCGTACGGCGCGACTCACCGTGAGCGCTTACGCGTGGCGCTCAGCTGATCGCTACACACAATAATATACACATTTCTCTCCGATTCAGTTTCTCTCGCTCACTCATTCAGTCCCACTCACTCACTAAGATTTTATTTTATAATTAAAAACTAAATTTCGGAGATAATTTTGGAAAACATCTTTTCGACGACATTTTATAAATATAAAATAAATAATCAACGTGAATAAAAAAACAATAGATCGCGATAATGCACGGTTAACGCGATAAAGTTTAAGATCGTGGTCCAGGAAGTGTCTTGATCGTCGCGTTATCACGGCGCATGTCCGAAGCAAGACAGAAAATCCCGCAAATTGCACGCCGCGAGGAGCGTTTTGCCTCCTATACAAACGCACGCGCACGCAAGTACACGCGTGCACGCGACGCGACTACCTAATAGGTATACTCGCCGCATCTAGTCACGCTGGCAAAGAGCGACGCCAGCAGCTCCCGGTCGCCCCGGCTGACTGTTTAGCATTATTAATTAGAACCAAAGTCGCACTAAGTTGGCGAGTACATAAACAGAAATAATATTTGCGCAGAGCGTTCATTAGACGGGCGACGGCAGTGGTGGCGCGACGGCGCGGCGGCGAAGATACGAGATGGCGGCATAAACGAGCCGGATTCTCATTAAAATAACCGTGCCTTTCCTTTTCGTTTCGCGGAGACACACCGGGGAAAAAAGGAGGACGACGAGGGAGCGGCGGGCGGGCCGAACGGGGGCCGCAAGAGGGCCGCGAAGAGCGCGGCTGAGGGTTGGGGGGGAGGGGTCCAGAGATGAACAAAGTGACCGACGCAGAGGCCGCGGAAGGTTTACCCCCTACTCTTTCTCCCCCCCTCTCTCTCTCTCTCTCAGCCGCCCTCTCTTCCTCTCGCGCTCATTTTACCCGTTAGCGGGTAGTGGATGGTGGGACTTGTGCCTGCAAGCACAAGGGGCGGCTGGTGTCGAACGGGGACGGGGGAG